TTCTTGTGTTGTGTTGTTTTTTTCACAACGTTCTATACTCCGGGATGGTAAACTTTTGGGGGGGCAGGCCGGGGACACCAAGGTTTTGAAAGAAAACAACCAAGCTCAGAGAACCCCAAGGACTCCAAAGTAATCCTTCTTTCCATGCATACCCCTCTCGAAGTTAGTTCAGGCAGAGTAAAGTTGAGAAAATGAGTTAGTTTTACAGGAGGCATCCTTGTTTTTAAAATGGTGACTCTTATCCTCACTCAAAGGGAGGAGAATACTTCGAACATCGTTTTCCTTCCTTTTTGCCATCCTTTTTCCCTGTAGAACCTCTTTGCCAATGCACAAAAGGCTTGGAAATGTTAGTTGCATTATGTAAATAATTATTTTATTTGTATTTCCCAAAAGAGTAAGAAAATAAAAAGAATACCAATACTGTAGTGGCAAGTTAACACTTTAAAAAGTATTCAGAAGTATACAGATGTGTCTATATATGATTTGAACACAGTTTTTCAAAAAAGCCTGTGTGGGTGAAAGACAAAATTCTATTATTGGCCTTTTTCAAATATGTGATTTCATTAGTGGGAGAATGATGGACAGCAGAAAGAATGAACACTTGAAATTTCCAGTTTTGTTTACATATAATATATGTTTGTTTACTCCTCTTAGAGGTTTCCCAAAAGAGGAACCTTCTCCAGCCTAACACCTTTTTGATGTGTTGGCCTACAGTTGCCTTCTTCTCCAACCAGCATGTTCCAGATGCAATTGTCCTTATTCTGCAGTGTACAGATGATCCTGAATATCATCCCAACAACTCCACTGTAGAAGAGCTAACCTTACATTTCTTCCTTTTTCCCCTGAAAAAAGTTGTGGTTGCAGTCTAGAATAGGAGTGTGGAATTTGCATTGGCTGAAGAGTCACCTCATGCTTTGCATGGCATGCTAAGGGCCATATTCTCCAAGTGATTAGGGTTAAAGCCATTTGGGGAGGCTCAGGAATGTTACATGGTGAAATTGATGTCAAAAGTATCTGGATGGCATAAGGAGACCTTCTGTTTTGCTCTTTAAGCCACCAAACCCCAATACTGCAAAAAAAGTGGGGGACTGCAATTTTTGGCCCCATTTACTTCTCAGGCAGACCACGTCCACACATCTTAAAGTTGCCAAGTTTGAAAAACATTGCTCTAAGCCATGCTTACTACTTCTTTGGTGTAGAAAAGAATCAGAAAATATACATACTGTAAGTCATACATGTTTCTTTTAAAATATACTTTGTATGGCATAATTTCTTTTCATGGGTTGCCTCCTTTTCCTTGGCATAAAACATTTCTAAGGGGAAAAATTATAATAATTATTTCAGTGAACTAGGTTCCAGCAAAATTATTTAGGATTGCTCCTCTGTGTACAACAAAACATCTTTTGTCTTTTATACCTAAGAATTAAAATTATCCTGTATAGTATTAGGGCAAATTTTCAGAATACCATGAAGTAGAAAATGTTAAGATGTTTTATGCAGCTTTTTACACAAGGTATCAATTAGTTACAATTATGGCTATTTCTCAGAGCTATTAACATTTAGCTGTGGAGCAACAGGCACATTTCAGCCATGTGCATCTAATATATTTATGGTCCTGTACTTTGTACTTGTGACCTTTTGTGATGGTAATATACATAAATCATTCTGAATTCAATCTAATTTGCTTATTTAAACTTCTGCTTTGAACACAGTCCATACCTGTTCAGAATTTTGCTTCCATAATGTTATCATTCAGGTACCTAGAACACTTGTCAGGACTAAATAAAATTAACACTTTCAGTAACTGACTCTATAAGGAAACTTTTTTTTAATTTAAAGCAAAGGCTTTTGTACATAAGATTTAAATATTTTATATGAACCTTCAGACTAATATTGGTATTAAAGCATTTCATACTGAAACTTGGATAAGTTTATTTGAAGTAATTATTTATAATTTGTTTTCGTGCCACTGTAGCCTCTGAGGCCAAAGATGGAAAGGGATTGGCTGATATGATTCTAAAGGAGCGACTTTAGGTTCCAAGTGTAGAATTCATCATCGTTATTTATGTTCTTATTTTATGTGGTTTAATGCCATGGAAAGGTCAAGTGATGCAATAGAGAATACTACCGTCTCTTTTAGATTTATGTTCCATTCACTGTTGCAGATTCAGAAGGCACTGAATATGTGCAGACTCTTGTAAATATTCTATTAACATATCTCTGGATGTGTTGTCTTCTTCATTGTGGCAACATTCTGTTCAGAATATATACAAAACTGACAACTGATTCTTAACTATTTGTTTGTTCATAAGTTATTGGCACCCCTCTCAAGAAAAATAATTTAAAATTATTAATTGAGTGTATATGCATTGCAGATTACTTTTCTTTAGGTTGACATTTCTTATAATACTTTTTTATTCACATTATCTGCTTCTTTTAAAGTACCATTATTGGAAGTACTTATGGCTATAACTACATACCTAGGGGTCTCCAGATGGCCTTGAACAGACATGAACTTTAATTAATAACTTTAATTAAGGTATATTACACCAAAGACTATTAGACAGCCCATTCAAGCTATGTTAGTCTGGACATGAAAGTTAGTTCTCACACAGTCAGTGAAAAACACCATGAAAGTCAAACGGATGATAACAACAAGAGACTGATGGAAACAGCCCAGTTGACTCAAAAGAGGGAGCTAAATATTCTGTTATATAGGCAAGAAAGAAAAAGATATGTAAGAGGTTTTGAATACTGTTTCCATATATAAGTGTTCTTGAAACACAGCACTTGCTGAAATTCTTGGATTATGTCTTCCTAACTTTCATTAGTAAGTACTACTTGCTGGAATTCTTGGATTTCTTGTGAGCTTACCTAAGTGGTTCAGCCCCACCTGTGGAGTGAAACTAGAAAAACTGTAATGAAAACTTTAGGATTACCACTATTTTGCATACTACAGTTAACCCTATTGGGATTAATGAGCATAGAAACGATATTTTAATTTGTTAAAGAATGTTATTTATATGAGTGATACTCTTGAACACATTGACTTGGTTTCAAGTCGGAGCACAGCAAAGAAGACCCTATTCCTTGTCTCCACTGGCCCAATTATTTTTATAAGTGGATTTGTATATATGTCCTCCAATGCCAGTTATAATGTGAGTCAGGTTTTTGTGTTGTGAATGTAGCCTCAAACTATTTAGAGCCTTAAAAGCCAATGCTAGCACTTTAAATTAGGCCTATTTGCACTTCATTATATGACTTGTAGAAATATAACACGTGTGTGTGTGTGTAACAAATATATATGTATAAAACATATATAGTAGTCCTTCGGGTTTGAAGAAGGTACAGTGTTGTTCAGTTCATCTGTGGACATGGAGGTGGCTCTGCAGTCCCAGTCTGGAAGCGCAGAGTCTAGCACAATGGGGGCACTGGAAGCCCACTGTTGTAGTTTCTGTGGGTGTTATTCTGTGATACCGCTCACAGATTTCTATCAGTTTTTGGCGGTGCCTGTCTTCAAAGCCAGTGGAAGCTTCATAGCACAGGGTTGCCAGCAGGTTCTGTCAGCAGCTGCAGCTTCTAGTTCCCTTGGCTGGATGTCACAGTGGCTTAGGGTTTCTTTCACAGGGTCTTTGTAGTGCTTGTGTGGTCAATCTCAAGGTTTCTTCGTAGACTCCAGTATACTATAGAGCAACTGGCAAGGCATACAGTGGTCATCCATTCCAGTGATGTATCCCAGCCACTGCATCTGGGTTCTGATAATCAGGGACTCAGTGCTGGTGGACTCTGTGTGATCCAAGGCCTCCAGGTTGGAGACATGCTCTTGCCAACAAATGCCAACGATGGAGTGGAGAGTGTGCATGTGAAATTCCTCCAGTTGTTTGATGTGCCTTCGGTACAGAGTCCAGAATTCACATCCATATAGGAGAGATGGAATAACCATAGCTCTGTGGACTTTCAGCTTTATGGAGATATGGATGTTATGTTGATTAAGGACTCTAGTATGCAGCTGCCCCAGTGCCTGGTTGGCCTTGTTGATCCTGGAGTCACTTTCTTTGTCCAAAGACCCATCACTTGAGATGATGCTTCCCATGTATTTGAAGCTGTTTATATTTGTCATCTGGGTGTTGTCAACAGTGATTTTTGGTTCTACAAGGTTGGTACTGTATTTGGCACAGGCTGAATACCAGGAGTATAGCAGCATCTGAGAATTTGTTCAGCATCAACTGTAGATCACTGTCTTTCAGTTCCAGGAGCACCTAGTCATCAGCAAAGAGGATTTCTTGGATGACTCTTTGGAGGCACTTTGTCCATGTGTCCAAGCAGTGAGGATCAAAGAGAACCTTCCAATTGGTACCTTATGTACACTCCCTCCTTCAGACCCTGGACAGCACATGACAACATGCAAGCGAAGAACAGATTGAGCAGGACTGGGCTAGCACACAACCCTTTTTTATCCCATCGGAAATGGCAAATGGAGCTGATATATCACCATTGTAAAGAACCTGTCATTCCATTGTGGAGTAGCTGAATCAACTTCACAAATTTCCTTGGGCATCCATAATGTCTCAGGATTATCCAGAGAGCCTCCCTGTTTACAGTGTCAAATGCCTTTGTCAGGTCAATGAAGATAGAGTAAAGAGGCTTGTTCTGCTTGATGCACTTCTCCTGGACTTGCATCATGGCAGATATCATGTCTGCTGTACTCCGTTCTGGCTGAAAGCCACACTGTGCCTCTGGGAGGTTCCTTTCTGGGACAGTGACAAGTCTGTTCAGGAGAATGCAGGCAAAGATCTTGCCTGCAATGGACAGCAGTTAGATACCCCTGTAGTTTCCACAGTCTGATTTGCTTCCCTTATTTTTGTAGAGTGCCACAATTAGGGCATCATGGAAGTTATCAGGCATCTCCTCTGTGGACCAAATGCCTTCTAAGATGTCTTGAAATACCTGTAAGGCATTTGGGTCTAGTGCTTTGTAGATCTCAGCAGGAATGAAATCCTGTCCTGTTGCTTTATTTGAGTTTATCTGCAAGATCGCTTTCTTGGTCTCATCAGTAGAGGGAGGCAGGTTTTGGGCATCCAAGACTGGCAGCTGAGGAATCTGCTGTAAGACATCATGATCAACTGTGGATGGCCTATTGAGTAGATTGGAAAAGTGTTCAGACCAGTAGTTTTTTAGTCCTTCCTGATCTTTTGATCAGGCTCTCTATATGCATTACTGTATTACCATTACTGAGCGAGAGCCCATGCTTTGATTTAGCATAAAGCAGCTTAGTATGTTCTCTCTTAACTGGCTTTGAACTATATTGTAACCATTTAACTCTCAGTAAAATGCAGAAATAATTCACTTTTACTGTTAATAGAAACTAATAGGCCGTGGAAATTCCTGGTTTCAGAAAAGTACCCAGAAGCAAGTCATTCTGTGAAACTCTATTTTTATTTATTTTAGAACAATTAGTAGAGCGAAAGTCTTGCAACCTGATACTAGGTAAGTAAACATACTGTTTCAGAGAGTGAAGAAAGGATAACTATCTATCTTGTGGCAAGCTTAGCCACAATATCAAGGTGGAATGGAGAAATTTACTTCATTGCATGTCTTCAGAAGGATGTTTGCATTCAGGGAAGCCAGTGAATAGCTGGTTTTGGCCCATTCCTTCATGGTTGCGTTTGCAATCATGGGCTACATCAATGAATGGCCTAAACGGTTTTTGAAAATATTTATACAGCAATTTAGTCATTCTCAGGTAAGGGAATTAGATACTATAATGGTTGCACTATAGTATGATGTTACCGAACTCTGAAATGATTAGAGAATTGGATGGGTAGTTTTGGTTTCAAACCACCTCATAAGCAGCTTTCTTTATGGATACCGTCTTGGGACTAATGGCAAAGGGAAGATCTTCAGCATTTCGTATTTGTGAACAGAGAGAATTATAGTGAAATTATTCATTTTTCAGGTTGACCTGTTAATTGATAATGAAGCAGAGAAAGATTATCTATACGATGTGCTGCGGATGTACCACCAGTAAGTCTGTATATCATAGTTACTGCTTTTATTTCTGTGGTGTCACTGTACTTAGCTGGAGGTAACAGATAAATAGGAAAAAAATCCCTCTATTTTAACTCATTGTAAACTAGTAAAATAAAAAAGTATTTAATAGGAACATCAGACACCTCCTTGAGCAATTGTTTTTATTAAATAAATGGTTATTTGGAAAAATATCATCTTTTTGTTAACTTTGCTTCATTGTATCTAAATGTATTAAATTTATTTTATGCATTTATGACAAGGACATCAGTATATTTCTATAGGAGCTGTGGCTCTGTAAAGACAGACAAATGCATTATAGCATGAGCTCATGTAGCCAAAACTAATTTCATCATATCTGTGGAATGGTGTTTTGAAGTACCAGATAGATATGGACATGGAAATGTAGCAGTATGAGAAGGATTTCAAACAGTGTGAGCAGTGAGATCAGAGGAATTAAATGAAAAATATAAAGAAAGTGATGATTATGCTGTAGTTTAGATCTATACATATACATATATACAGTTGTATCTTTAAAGTGCCATATAACTTAAATATGCAGCTGGCTAGTTTCTTTGACAAGAAAATGTCTGTACAATTTTTGCTGTATTTCCTTGTGGTTTTCTCAACAAATAAGCAGAGTGATTAATAAGATACAATTATAGTTTCATTTTCCACTCAGTAATAATTAAAATAGGTATGAGCCCATTTTATTTTACTTAGAAAAAATGGGAGTATTTCTCCAGTTTTCATAGGGGAGTGATTCAGATTATTACAGTTTCTGAACATACCTTAATTAATAGCATCTCAGCAGAATGACATTTGGCTGTTTTCTGTGTGGTTTTTCTCCAAAGCAATAGCTTGGCATGGTTTTGGCTACTAACTCAGTTTGGTTTCCCTTGAGACTGTAATTGTTTCTCCATTCTTAAAGGTTGGTCTGCAGCTCTTTAGAATAGAAAGAATTCTGCTGAGTTAATTATTTAAAACTTTGGTGACAGGAACACACATCTTTTCTTTGCCTAATCCTTATCTGCCCTATGTGGGAAATGTTATTAATAATTAAATAAATATACACTGTCACAAAAGTATACATTTCAGAGAATCCACTCTTTTTGCAAGAGGCTGTACTTTGCTTCCTATGAGAAATTTAAGTATTTACAACTCCTTTGCCAATATTAGTCCCCATTTACCTTTGCTTCTATCCTTATCCATCCTTCCCAGATGTCCTGTCTTTGCCAAGGCTCTTAAAACTAATACTTTTTATTTTATTACTTGGATCAGGAATGGATCCATATTGGATTCTGTCTTAATTTATGTTTTACATGAGGGATACTTATAGACATAATACTGAGGCAAATGGTACTGAGGTTCCTACCCCCATGATGGACTCTAGTCCTCAAAAACATATGCCACTAAAATTGTATGAATCTTTAAAGTACTCCTTTACTGTTTCCCTATTATTGCATCACAAATGAACATGGTCTACAGTGTATCTCTACAATGCTTCATTAAATGGGGAAATATTTTTATTTAATAGATAGCTACTTGTCATACAGGAAAACAGTGCATACAAAATTTATGAATCTGATGGTTTTAAAATTTCAGAATTCTGTAACAGAAAGCTCAGCTTTATTTGTTGTCCTGTTGAAGGCACTGTGAATTTTGTCGTTGACTACTTGGAAGTAGCATCACCCTGGTTTGAATTTAATTGCTATTAATAATGTACTGCTTGCACTTAAGTAACATACTAGGGTGTTCAATATCTATTATGATACATTTTACATAGATGAATAAGTAGTACAGAATGAGTTCAACCTTCCCAAACCTGGTTAAGACTATATTTTCAAGGATTTCCAGCTATCATGGTCAGAATATCCCTGCCAGAAAATTTAGTAAACATCTTTCTAGTTTTAACCATATAATTACAGATAAGTGATTGGATCCAAAGAAAGTTACTTGCATTTATTTTGCACTGAAATCAGTGAAATTAAATTATAGCTTACTTTCCAATTTACTTAGTTTTCACTACAATCATACCTGCACAGACACATATGCATATGAATACATACCAACACTATATCTATAGCTACCCTACTATTCTTCTTTGAGTAAGCAGTGTTGTGCAAGGTACAGAAAAGGAGAAAGAAGTACTGAGTGCTAACCAAAAGAAATTAAGTACATGAGATGTGAAAAAAGAAATACACAGTAGTTACATTTTATACCAGTACCATTCATTGTTACCATAGACTAACACAACTCTCACAAATTCTGTAGATCCATGAATCTTCCAGTGTTGGTTGGCAATCTGAAGTATGTAATCAATGAACCAATTTGACAATTCCATTCTGTAGATCTAAAAATCAGAAGGAGTCTGGGAGCCCCTTTTCCAACTAACAAACATTATTAAAAATAATAACCTTTCATGAGATGCACCTTGCATTGACACTTTGTCACTTGTCATAAGCGCATAGGGTGGCTCTCTATTACCATAGACTAATACAACTCTTACAAATTCTGTAGATCCATGAATCTTCCAGTGTTGGTTGGTGATCTGAAGTATGTAATCAATGAACCAAGTCGACTGCCATTGTTTGAAGCCATTTGTCCTCTTATTCCATTAAAACATCAAGTGGAATATGATCAGTTGACACCTAAACGAACAAGGTAGGTTTGAACAATATCTTTCTTTGTATTTGCGAACAAGGGTTTTGCTTCAGAACTAAGCTAATTCTTCTTATATGAAAACTCAAAGTATATATGGACATTCTGAACAGTGTTCTGAACACACCTTCATCTAACATCAAACCACATTTCCATACTTTTCAAGTAATTAATTATTTTTGTATTATAAAGCCCATACCAACTATAGAACCAGGTTCTTTCTGAACACCTTTTCTTTCCTCTCTTTTTCTGATCATAAAGCATGACAGATCTACCTTCCATTTATTTGCTAACCGTTTATTTCACAAAGAACTGCCAGACATCATCAGATTAAAGTCTATCAAAATCCACACTTAGGTTGAAATTCTTATCATTAAGCTCCTATTATTAAAAAAAAATCAACAAGTCATCCAAGGTACTGACTGGTCAGTTTGAATTTTCCTCCTTCAAATCTATTCCCACTCCCTTAAAAAACTCTGTTCAGTGAAATTTGTTTTGTCTTTAGGGAGCTGGTGAAGAACAATGGCTAGGCCATGCTGGGAAGGGTGCACCTTTTAAGTATCATCCAAAAATGAAATCAGTAGCAAAAGATTAGTGAACAAGAAGAACAAAGCATTCTGTAATATACAAGTTTGCTAAATAAAAATGCACATTTTCTGTAGCAACACAAGAGCTGAAATGGTTGTTGATATAGTTCTGTATCCTTGCCACAAATTAATCAGACTGGAATAGCATATAAGTGCCAGAAAATAATACAATACAATACAATAATTGAAAGCCCGGATAATGAAATTTGGCTCATATACTTGATATTCTTTGAAAGCCTAGAACCTAATTATGAAGGAAAGGCAGATATGTATGATTTATAGGAACTTTTAAGTTGCAACTATAAATTCTTTGAGTTGCCACTGTTATTCCAACTTCTATAGGAAACTGAAGGAAGTGAGATTGGATCGTCTGCATCCTGAAGGCCTTGGAATAAGTGTGCGAGGGGGTGCTGAATTTGCTTGTGGCCTGTTTATTTCACAGCTAACAAAAGGAGGACAAGCAGACAATGTTGGACTTCAGGTGAGGAAAAAAAGTGTATATAGCCAAAACAAAGTCTGGTATACCATAACCAAAATGTATTTTAGAAAAAAATACCTTGAGATTGTAAAGAATAGTTGAAGGGAACATTCCCTGAAAAGTATATGTCATCACTAGTATCAGATACAAACTTCCTATGGAATAGAATGATATTAAATGGCTTCAGTTTGCTTCATAGACTGCTTTAAAATAAGTATAGAATGTTGGAAGTCTCCATTAAATTCATCTTCATGATACATGGTGAGAGTTTACCTCTTGTTTGGTCTTATATCCATTTTGGGGCAGAATTCAATCAGTGGTGGACACTTACATGAAGCAATTCTTATATAAGTTGCCAAATCTAGTTGTTATTTTCATACTACAACAGGGCTGATTCTAACCCCATTATTATCGCTTATTAGGTCTAAGGGCCAGTAACAGTGAAGGTTATGGGAGGAACATTAGTCATTGATTGGAGATATAGACTACACTTTAGAAAATATAAAACCTTACACAAGTTCCATTATTGATAGTTTATGTTTGCCCTCAAGTAAGTGATGACTCTTAGCAACTACATAGATAGATTTTCTCTAAGATGATCTGTCCCCAAATTGGTCCTTCTGGTCTCTGAACTCAGAAGGAGGTCCCAATCTTGAATTGGTATGCTAAAGGATGCCAATGGACAGACAGTAACTAAATCCAAGAAGATGGAAGGAATATACTGAAACTCTGTACAGTAAATATATCAATATTTTAGAAGGTATTACATACTTAAAAGAGCCTTTAGTAGTATAATATGATGTTAGATCAGCACTCCAGTCATTACCAAGTTGGAATGCTATTGAAATTGATGGAACACCTGCAGAAATATGGCAAGCAACAGAAGAAAAATTGTAAAGGTTGTAACCAGACTATACCAGCAAATCTGGAGAATGACATAGTGGCCAACAGTTTAGAAGCGATCAGTCTACATACCAATAACAAAGAAAGGAGACTTAACAGAGTATGCAAACTATCATACAATATCCTTAATTTCATATGCTAGCAAAATAATGTTTAGGGTTATCCAATACAGATTAGAGCCCTACGTAGAAAGGAAGATGCCAGATGTTCAAGTTGACTTTAGTAAAGGCCAAGGAACAAGAGACATTATTGCTGATGCTAAATAATTGAGAAAGTCAAACAATATCAAAAAGAAGTCAATATATGCTTCATTGATTATAGAAAGGCCTTTGATTATGTCAGTCATGTCAAGCTAGCAGATACTAAAGTTACCATTTGTACTTGTAACTTTATATCTCCTTGGATATTTTCTATATGCTGGGAAAAAAATTGGCTTTCTATTGCATATACACAAAGGGGGAGGGATGAAACACACCAAAATGCTGCTTATAACATGAAAGCAATGGCTTATGAACTCATGCACATTTATGTTTTATGAATGATTTAGAAAATCATGAACATTAAATATTAACTCATAAGCTAACTGATGTCAAGAAAAAGCTAAAAAGAAAAAAAGAGCAAATCCATGTTTAAATAGAAGCCACATCAACAAATACTAGATTTTCCCTGTATTATAATCAAAACTTACTAAAAATCTGTTAGGAATCTGCAACAAATGTAGCTGCTGACGTTACTTTGTTGATATGTAATGTTAAGTATTAACATAAGATGTATTCATAATAATCTGTGAGGGACACCCTCTGAAACTTTCTGAAACCAAGTAAATAAGAGAAGTTGACAGGAGGTCCATTGTTCTAAATTGCTGTCTCATGATAACACCAAATGCTTCTGAAATTTCACCCATCTGCATTATTTCATTAAATCTCCACACATTTTCTAAGCTGGAAAAAATGTGGTCTGAGAAAAGGCATAATGATCTACCATCAGGATATCAGTTTCTTCTCTTTTTCGGTATACTGTTTTGATTCATCTATGAGAAATTAAAAGGTTTCTATACCAATAAAAATGCCTGCATATATACCTGTAACTGAGGAACATTGTGGCTCTGACCTATTTTCCTATGATTTCTTTGTTTTTGTTTTTTTTTCTAACTAGGTAGTGTTTAGCCTTTTCATGTAATTCACCTTTTCAAATATTCTTTTAGCTATTCTCCTGGATACAGATATCTTTGAGGATTTTGTGGGCTAAAAGGAGTTGGAACTTATTATGGATAATAGAAGTACAGCAAAATGAGAAAACAGAAAATTTGAAACCACCACAGTTCTGCTTCCTATAGTTCAGCTAGTAAAGAGGCTGTTTCAGAAGTCAACACAAAGCATTTTCTGTTTGATACTTTTCTTTTTAGCCCCATAGTTCTCCAGTAATAACAGTAGCTGCTTAATACATGCTGAAAATGCAAGACATAAAATGTTTCCCTAAAGGTATTTTAGAATAGATAGAATGATCCCATTTGTATATAGAAGAGGCATTTTCTACCGTATAACTCCCTCAATTCTAAACACCTTGTTTCTTGTTTCTTTTATGGCAGTGATGGAAGTAGCAGTGAGTGGCATGCTAGAAAAAGTTTAGAATATTTGTGAGGGTGGAGGGAAGAGGACAAATGACGTTCTGAAAGGGCTACATCATCATCATCATCATTTAAAAACTTAGAAAAATTGTGCTCTGCTGTGGAAAGTATAAAAAGATGAAGACTCCTTCAAGTCAAACTTAACTCCTAATGCCAATATGGACAATGTGGAAAAGTTTGCTGTTTTCTTTTTCTGCAGCTTTGGGATTCGCTATTAATTTTCTATCCAAGTACTAAGTTTGATGCTCCTTAGCCTTTTCGAGATCAGCCATGGCCATTGTTTCTGGGAATATGGAAGTAAAATTAACTAACAACCAATCTGTGCTTCAGATCATATAAGAAGCTTCAGTTTGGACAAATGTTTTATATAGGAATAGGATCAAGCCAGGCTCTGCTGGCAGGGCCCTCATTAATATGGGAAGTACCATCCCATTTTCCTTGCTCATAATCCAAGTGAGAATTTAGCAGGACTTGCTATGGTTCAGGTGAGTAAGAGTGTACTGAATGAAGATTCAAAATTAAAGAAGCTGCAGGTTGAATTTCACTAGAGGAAGAAGTCTGGCTGAATGGCAAGAAACATTAATTTTAAACTGTGATTATTTTAGAGAACATAATCTTTCTAGTGTGCAATTCAAAAACATTTTGTACATTTATTAATAAATAGAAGCAACATGATGCTCCCCTTTTTTCTTCTCATCACGGTATTGTTCAACAGATGGCCTGTAAAGCTCCTGTCACTCAAAGACACAGGGAGCATTTCATTATATGTTAGAAATATTTTGATAAAGTATAAATAAAAATAAATTATGATTCTTTGGCCAAGAGTGACTGACAATTGCAGCTCTTCTTGGGTAAAGATAGAAAGCTCCACATACTGTGGTTAACCATTGCTTGAGGGGAAGCAGATTGCTTTGAAGGCACATTGGGATAATGTCAGGAATGGCCACGGATCCTAAGAATTAGACCAGTCTCTGTTGTGCCTCAAAACAGAGTTGGAGTTTATGCCAGTCTAACAGCAAGTACAGTATAGTACATTTGCTTTCTGTTCAAGTGAATTTCACGGGGGTATGGAAAACCCCTATCCTATCCTGGGGGATAGGGAAAACACCACTATCCTGAAGCCCCTATATTAGTTTACCACTTTTTTCTGGGTTGCAAAAGAATCCTGGATTTTAGCCCATGGTGGCTCTTCATTAAGGCATTGTTATTAGTCTTAACCATCATCATCATCATCATTGTCCTCTGTTTTGAAAAAAGGAAACATGTAGAGATTATGGCCATGGAAAAGAGAATTGTCGAAGTGAGGAGTGGAAGTTTTTCAAAACTAGCTTCTGGAGGAGGATCTTTAAAAGCTAGCAGAACTGTTACCCAGACATAATGAGGACAGATTACCCTTAGTTTGGTCTGCCTTTATTACGTGATTACTTTGCTGACAGTCTACACAGCATCATCAGGATGCCCATTCAGCAAGTGCAATATCTGCTTTCATTCTGCTCTGACTTACCATCATTGTAACCACAGACTGTTTTGTTTAATTCAACTGAATCTGAATTAATTAATTCAAGTGAATCTGGGCAGCTTACAATTAATTACCTTAAAAACCAACAACAGCAGCAGATTTGCACTTAAAAAAGGGGGGAAGGGTGGGGGAGGGAGACTATTAGCAATAAGGATTTTGCCCAGTAGATGGAGCAACAATATCATTGCTAAAGTTTATGAGACAATTATTCATTCCCTTATTTCAGCCTGATCCACAAATAATACTTTGACTCTAAATTAAAATCTTCTATGCACTACATAGTTGCTACCTATCCATTCTAGCAGGTCCCTTTGGGCTTAAATAACCATATAACATGAATAAATAAATAATCAACAAGAAGGGAGGTCTAAATTATCAGTTGCATAACTGTAAGAGAGCCCTGCCTGAGAGAATATAATAGAAGATCTACTATACTGTAGTGAATTTGCCAAGCTGTGGAATAAGACTAAATAAAAAGCCAGTTTTGTAAAACCTATGGTGATCTTCCATCTATGATCTCCTTTTCTCTCTTCTCCTTTTTTGCACTCTGTAACCTCCCCCAATTTTTTTAAGGCTCTGTATGTGTTTGTAAGTAAGTGTGTTTACCAACACACATTCATTCAGTCACATCCATGTCTTTGTGACCTGGTAGACATCATTTCACCAGGAATGTCTGTCAGTAACAGCTTTTTTTTTAAAGGATTACATATTATTGATCTTTGCACTATTACTTGTGTTTTAATTTATTTCCAAGCACAAGCATAGGAGGGTGGTATAAATAAGCAACTCTAAACAATATGTATGCTAGCTCTGATGCAGAGCATTGTAATTATTGTGAGGTGGGTTTAGAGCTTTGAAAATTACTGGTCTTGGTGGGGAAAATGGAAATGGTTAGCGTAAGACTAAGGGTAACAAATAAGAGGGTCAGATAAGAGGGAAGAGGACCAAATAAAATAAAAGGGACGAATCATTGTTTCCCGAGATTAAAAGCAGGCTTGAGGAAATGATATTTGCAAAGGGAGGGAAAATAGTTACTACTACGTTACATAGCATCAGCATGATTTACACAAACTAGATGGTGCGTAATTCACTTTCCTAATTCAGTTGCATCACAGCTTCCAGATGGCGTTCCATGTGCTGTCCAAGATACTGAAAAGCTTTTACTTGGTGTATTCATTATCAACGGTGTGCAGAATGTGCCTTTTGATTGATGTATGGGAGAAGAGACCCTAACTCTTCATTGCATGGAATGCCAAAACAAAGGCCCACCCTTCAGAAAACCTTTCCCTGAGCAAAAGAAAATCACTGAAGCACACTTGCTTCCTTCATTCTCCCTTGCAATGCATGCCTACTTAAATAGTTACTCATTAACATAAAGGGGTAGGTTGCGCTGTTGTAGATTATCTCCCTTCAGTAGGATCCACTTTTCTTGGAAATGACTGCCAAGAGAAGTGTTCACCATTTTCTAGAGAAAGACAGGTTTTTTTCCTAGAAAAATATTGCTTTTTCAGAAAAAAATGGTGCCTCAAATGCAACCTATTATAATAAAATATGAGCCTGTGGCAGGGTTCTAGAGTTATCCTCCTGTAAACAGGAGAGTGCCTTCCATTTATGGAAGCCAATTTGATGCAGTTAGTACATCTGCTGTTAGAAATTGTGGGGTTGGTGATTTTCACTGATTTATCCTTTCTTTTACAAACCTTGGTCTGTCTCCCATGGTATTCCTCTGAACAAATGTGGCTGGTGGGATGGGGGTGGGAGGAAAAGGAGCTGGAAGAGACAAGATGGAATTAGTGGCTTCCATGGAATTGTCCATGAGTAAACTCAGCTCTGTATGTGTTTGTAAGTAAATGTATTTACCCACACACATTCATTCAGTCACATCCATTTTTTTGTGACCTGGTAGACATCATTTCACCAGGGATGTTTGTCAGTAGCAGCATTTTTTAGATCTCATAAAATCATGATTGGATTATCTGTAATAGTATCTAATTGATTGCCTTCACTTTTTCCAGGGATCAGGAACTTCTTCCCTTCTCTTGCCTTCATGTTATGTATTCAAAATATCTAAATGTAAGCTTTGTAATTAGTGTGTACAATGTGCTTTCTGGATTTGCCTTATCTGGTATTGAATAATTTGTTCTTGTTAAGTTATTCTTAACAGTTTTCTCCAACACCTCCAACAATGTCCAATCTTTCTGATAATCCAGCTTTCCAGTCGTATGTTACAATGGAAAAGCTATAGTCTTGACATTGCATATCTTTCTTGTCACTGTGATATCTCTGCACTTTAACATTTTGTCTAGACGTATCATCAGCAAATGCTTCTTTACTTCATAGTTGCAATGATCAGTCCTGTGAATTTTGAAGACAAGGAAAATAAAGTCTGTTACTACTTAATTCTTCTCTGCTACTACTTGTTTACACAATCTTGTTTTTTAAAAAAATGAGCTGAAGGCTGGCCTTTGCAGACTTTTTCTTCATCTTCCATTTACTTGCTTCCATCAATCAAACCGATATCAGCAACATATCTGTTGATGTTTGTCCTGGCAATTTTACTGTAATTCAGATTTCTATTTCTTCTGGTCCAGCATTGTTCATGATATATTCTGCATGTAAGTTAAATAAATACAGTAACAGTATACAGTGCTACTGCACTCCTTTTCCAATATTGAACTATTAAATTACTCCTTATTCTGCTCTAACTGTTGCATCCAACATAAAAATGTTGCATTTTTATAGCTTTTAATTATGTATTTATGATTTTAATTTGATGTAAACTGCCCAGAGTCCCCCATTGTGGGGAGATGGGCGGGGACAAGTCCACTAAATAAAATAATTAAAATAAAATAAATCCTGGTTTCCATACAAATTCTTCAATGAGCAGATGAGGTGGCCTGGTATGTCCATGTTTTTAAGGACTACCCACAATGTTCTGTGGCCTACAGTCAAAAGCCTTTGTATAATCAATAAAACAAAAATCAACACCTTTGGGGAACTTTCTTGTCTTTTCCATTATCTGTCAGATATTACTAATGTGATCTCAGGTGCCCCTGTTTTGTGTGAATCCAGCATGTACATTTGGCAGCTCTCATTCCAAGTATTGTTGAAGTCTGGATTTCAACATCTTGACCATTAGTATGTGAGATTAACACAGTTGTTCAATAGTGTGAGTGATCTTTAGCACTGCCTTTTTTGGTACTGGCATATAAATCTCTTGTCCTTTCCATTTGATTATGATCTGTATATTCACCCCATCTCTTCTTTATATCTCTTTCTTCAGTAGATCTTGGTCTTCTTTATTTTTTTAATCCTGCCTATCTTTGCATGAATGGTTTCCTTGATTTCTATATTTGGAAATGAATCTCTTGTCTTCGCTATTTGTTTGTTGTCCTGGTTCTTTGCACTGCTTATTTAGATCTAACTTGTCTCTTCTTGCCCTTTTCTGGAACTCAGTGTTTAGCTGGGCAGATCTTCCTCTGTCCCTATTTTATATGCTTTCTGCCGCTATTTTCAACATGCCAGAAGACTGCCACTTTCCCTTCTTTTGTGTTTGCAATATTTTGCAGTGTTTTTGTTTGCTTCATCTTTTAATCTATTATTTACAGTCAGTGCACAATGATAGGGAATATTGCTGAGATTATTTTATCTCTTGGTCTGATTATTTTTTTTAGTTTAAGTTACAATTTTGCAAGATGTTCATGATCTGAGCCACAGTTAGCACCAAATCTGTTATTGTCAGCCCCACTAGATAGACCAGACCAGGAAATCAACTCCACAGGAACGCTAAAACTATTTTTATTGAGACGGGCTATTATTACAGAATCTTGCGAGTCTGACTGGCCTGAACCTCCTTCCCCTTCTTATACTTAGTGAATTAGAGAAGCGTCCAAATATTACCTAGTTGTTATGAGATTTAAAAATAATTCAGCCCTTTTTGCCTAGGCAACAGCTTCTGCATATTTCCATCAAGGTCATCTTCCTTACTCTCTACAGTTGTTTTTGCAGATTGAACAAAGCTTCTCCATCTTTTTTGCAGAGCAAATAATCAACTTGGTTCTAATGTTGTCCATCTGTAGAGCCGTCTGTTCCAGTCCATTTAAGTTCGCTGATTCCTAGAATATCAATCTGGACATTTCTGCTCTGACTACATCACATTAGCCTTGATTCATGGTTCTGACACATACACAGAAAGACACACACTATGCCATCCCATTTTAAGCTAGTAAATTGGAGTACAGTGGCATAGTCTAATCAAAGGAGCCAAAGGCAGAGAATTTTAAGACATATCACCACAGATTAGTCTCCATCTCCTTATAAGAGTGCTTAATTGTCACCTAAAATCTGTTCAGAGTGTTATTTCCTTGGCTAGAAAGTGTGGTTTAAAATCAGTTAATTTAGGATTGAATTAAATTCGATTCATTATGTGAGTAAAGCGAGTTTGATGTAACTATATCTGACAGCTTGAGTGCTTTAAACCAAAACTGAGCAGTAGTATTGAAAGAATACTTTGTTCTTGCAGTGTGCTTTAACACAACCAGACTTGCTTTTCTAAACTATCAGATGGAAACAATATACAGTACCTATTATGAGTTTCTGTGACTGCAAGGAAAATAAATTGAAACTGCATAAAACAACATCTTTTACATAATCAGTGGTTTTACACTCATATAACAGAATTCTAAAGTCATACTCTTCATAAGATCTAGAAGTCATTTCTATTAATAAATTATAGCAAAAACAGTTTGCATCTATTGAGTTCTTTTATTACATGATTATTAGTTTGTATGGTAACAAAAGTAATAAAAAGCTAGATAACAACTTATAAGGCACAATCCCCGTGGCAGATCGATTGGGAAGAGGTAGGCCCCACTAAGGCAGCCATTTTATGTTTTGAAAATTCCATTTACTCCCAGGATCCAGCCAGTGCACTGTAAAGAAACTGAATGGAGGATAGCCTTGCAGAGATATGTTTCTCAGCAAAACGTAGTCACCTGAGATATGTTTAAGGGACTTTATATGGCTTGAAAGTTTTTTTCTTATTCATTCTGTCCATGTCATAATAGGATAGAAACTGACATCCTCTGTACCAGAAGCGTCTTCTTTCCAATGCTGATTTGCAATGGTATATTTCTGCTGAAATGTGCTATTCAGTTTTGATTGATTGATTGATTTTTATTTAAGGTTGGAGATGAGATCGTCCGAATAAATGGTTACTCCATTTCTTCATGCACTCATGAGGAAGTCATCAATCTTATTCGCACAAAGAAAACAGTATCTATAAAAGTGCGACGTGAGTACAGCACTGCTTTGATATGTGATATAATTGCCATAATTTTATGTTAATTAGATAAGATGATCTGCAGAATTTGTTAATCATCATTACATATGATTTTCTTGCAGATGTTGGGATGATACCTGTCAAAAGGTAATGCTTTTTTCTGAAAACTTCTTTTATGTACAATGTAGATTGTATATAGTAATTTCCAGTTGTATCTTTCAGCTTGTTTTGCTAAAAAAGTTCACTTACAAAAAGCCTAAAAACTGCATAGCTTTATACATACTGTGATACAGGGATCATAGATAAGTAGCAAATGGTCTAGTAGGCTTTGGTTTGATTTTGATACATATCAGTCTTACATTTTGTCATTTGCGTATCTTTTCTTTTAGTTCCCCAGATGAGCCTCTCAAGTGGCAATATGTAGATCAGTTTGTATCAGACCCGGGGGTAAGGTGTCCATTCAGTTATCACAAATTGTATCTTGCAGCCTTAAAACTCTTTTCTAGACATCCATCCTCATTACAGACTATTGTTTGCAGTCATGTTCCATGCCACTGGACTTGCTGATTGGGTCTGATAAAAGTTGATATCAAAGAAGTGTCTGGAAGTTGCTGGGTTGTTTAATCTGATGGGATAGATTTATACATATATTTTACTGAGTGACAGCTTACTTTTTTTGATGTTTCCCAGAGCAATTAACAGAAAATTCTCTCACTAATCCTTTATGTTTTAAAAACTGTGAAGTTATTACAAGAATAACTAGTTGAAATGCAAGATGTAAAGACAGCCTGATAAAATGCCTGTTGCTAAGTGACTAGTCTGTCACCTAGTCTGATGTAGCCTTACCAGCCTGGATGCCATCCGCGTATGTGGACTTGAACTCCCATAATTCCCTTACCAGAATGATCATTGCTAAGAGTTCTGAGACTTGAAGGTTGTATATCTGGAGGGTGCCCAGGTTGGAGAACTTTGGTCTGATGGAACTGGCTGAAGAAAATGCCTGCTAAATAGTCTCCCAAAATTAAATTCTTATATGGGCAATGATCCTTTAAAAAGCAAATTGGATATAATGGCTAAAAGGCTGAATGGGAAGATGTGGCTTTAGAGTAATTTTTGGCCAACCAGTCTTTCTTATTCTAATATGTTCTGAGAATAAAATGGGATAAAATGTATATGATAGAGACGGACAGACAGACAGATAGAAGCTAAATTTAGCTTGATTAGCTAAAATGCACACAAAAATGAAGATTAGGTACTAGACATCCTTAAGGTTCATCCTACCCCCAAAAATAACCCAGTGAGGACTGAGCTTGGCAGTGGGAATGCAGTGCTGACTGGAGGATTGAAAACAAGATTATGGAAAATGACAGAATGGAACAGAATAAAGCAGCTTAGAGAATTCAGGTTTCACTTTCATAGGTATAATCATTATATCAAATAATAATTATATCATTTTCCTGGAAGCAATTATACCTATGACAGTCTGTATTAACTTCTGTGGGTTTTTTGTTTGTTTGTTTGTTTTTGAAGACTGCTTCCAAAATGCTTAATGTAGCCACTATTGAGATTTAGACAGGCTAAGATTGTAGAATTAATCTGATAGCTTATAATGACACTGAATGAAAGATATCATGCAAGTCTGACAAGCATCATATCACATCATTATTGTTATTAATGTAATATGTAGGAGCTTCAGCAAATGTTGCTCTGCTAAAGAATTCCCCCATTGGGGGGAGATGGGCGGGGGGAGAAATTGAATGAATGAATGAATGAATAAATGAATGAATGATCTTAATCAGATTTTCTTTACTCCATTCCAAATGTCATTCATGGTTTTTTCTTCTTCCATACCCCCAACCCCATCCCAGGTAGCATTCCATCCTTCCTGAGTACTCTCAGACCTCCCTAGGGTCTTTTGGAAGAGATCCCCCCCCCATAAACTTATGTTCTACTTACCCCCCAAAAATGTTCCTTTCAAATCTGCTGATTTCTCCATTTTATAAATGCTTATTTCAGTTCCATTAGGAGAGGTCCTTTAGGTTTTGAATTAGTTAGCATCTGAAATAATGTCAAAAAGTCATGGTCAGCCTGAGGCATTTTGCTGCTTGAGGTAAAAATGATCTGCCCCCATGCCACCTGGACTGCAGCTGAATCTAACTTCAGGCCGGATGATGGGACAGGATCTTCCCCTTGGGATTATGTAGAGATACAAAGCAGATTGTCTGGAACACACATATCTGATTTCCCGCAGAGGTGAACAGGTACAGAGTTGCTACTGCTGCTCCTCTATGCTATCTTCTTAGGCAGTTCTCCTAATCTCAGTCCTAGCTCTTCCAATATGAGTAAACAGATCAACTAGATCTTGTGTTTCATTTTAGATTGCAGACGCTTATGAAATTTGAATCCATTTGAATTGGGAGGGGGAAGCAGTGGGATAACTTCTCTGTTTAACTAGGGGCAGCCAATACACTGCAATTTCAGAAAGTCTGTTCTCTTATTTTAGGATGGTCAAAACAGCATTGCAGGTCTTGCATCATCTGGAGGAAACCATCATAAAGAAAAGAAAGTTTTCATTAGCTTAATTGGTACAAAGGGCATGGGATGCAGGTGAGCAACCGTGTTTTCTTGTTACTTGTTTCTCCAAGAAAATGTAGTTAGTAGGAATGAGCCATTAATTTCACTGTTGGAGAATTAAATATGATGGCTGTGCAGTGCTTTGTATTGGATTCCAAAAAGGTGCTTTGAAGTGGCTCTGGGAAAAGAAGCAATTACTTTAAAGCAGTGTTGTCCAAACTTGGCCACTTTAAGATGAGTGGACTTCAACTCCCAGAATTCCCCAGCCAGCATGGGTTTCAATTCCCTGATGCAAAATTCTATACCCCAAACAGTCAATTTGCTGTTTATGAAATTCACATTTGGAGAGCTTGGCATACAATTGAGCCTCCAG